TAGATGGTCTATATGCTCACTCTTCGTTAGTTGCGTGAAATCAATTGGTTTTTATACATTACAAACAGCATTGGGGCTTTGCTACTGCGATTAAGATCTTACAAGCATATGGCTATTTAGAGTGTCGGGGTTCTATGGTCAATGATAAGAAATTCATACACATTTGCATGACATTGACTTTAGTTTCCACGATGTGAATACCAGAGACGCCTTAATGATAAGAAATTCATACACATTTACATGACAATGACTTTAGTTTCCACGATGTGAAGCTTCGCCTCAAGCAAAACCCAAATTAGCATTATTAAATGCCTTCGTTTTCGTCAATCAATGCGCATTTCGTGTTCCGAGTCATATAATTTGGATCGCGTTTTCGATAACTGCTTCTATGTCACATTACCCCGTTACAAAAATCCATGGACAGCCAATAACCTAACTGTCCCTAACTAACTATTCACGTGACACGCACTATCTCTAAGAACTTTCCATAGATTTTTCATAGAATTAATCAATTTAATTGGCTATTAATCACGGAAGTTTTTATAAATTGGACAAAAAATTAGCGTGCACTTACAGAATAAAGAGTATGCATTTATTAGGAGTCCCATTGTGGGGCTAGTCTTCTATCGTGTATTTAGAGAGGTGCTGCATTTAATGTGGTTGCATTTAGAGGGGTCTGACTGTATTGCAAATATAAAACGCTAATCTAAACTATTATTAATATTATACCCAAAGCTTTAACCGGGTACTGAATTAGTCAACCTGAAAGCTTATAATGCTATACTCTAAATCTAGCACAACTCTATCACGAGTTATATAAATTCAGTTTTGCGAATCAGTTTTAGGATTTTTCACCAGTACGGAAATGGTGGCTCAGAGATTTACTTTAAGGATAACGGCATCTTAAGATTCTTAATAATTGCGTCATCTCAAACCTGAATTACTAATTCATTATGTTATTTTGTACTTATGTTTAATTAAAAAAGAGATGTATAATAACAGTTTATTTATCTAATATATGAAAATTCAAAAAAAAATATTACACCCTATATTTTTGTATTTAAACTAAGAGTTACATAACTAATCTAAGTGAATAAATTAGAATCAGCTTCTAAATTAAGCAGAAGAAGAATAAGGAGGTGGATCAAAATTACAACAAAATTGTTTAAGAAGAGAGACCAAAAGTTTAAGAAAATTTATAAATGCAATTAAAACTACTAATGTAGCAGAAATTAAAAAATTTCTTTTAACATCAGGATCTTTTTTGATTCCGGATAAACCATTGTAAATTGACCAAATGAGTACTGCTAAATAAGCTATCGAAAATAAATCGGATATTGTACTAAGTTTATCAATTATTTTTTCATCTACCTCCCGTTTTCCCCAGAGTAGATAGTATTCGGATTTGACTATATTAACCATAAGTTGTATTGTTTCAAATTTGAAGATGGACATTTCAAATTTAAAGTGGGATATTTCAAATAATGAAAGATGGATATTTCGAATTTAAAGATGGAAAAAAATAAAAACAAAAAAATTGTATAGTAGAAAAATACTTACAAATTAGTATGCAAAACATTTCACAATAACCTAGACCAACTGCTTTGTGAATCTGGCATACGATAATAATACGCTGAATTAATTCAACCATGATAATAATGACAAAAGTTAATGTCAAAGCTTGGCCTTGTTCATGCTAAATAAAAGTAAATAAAAGTAAATAAAGGGTAAATAAATATGTTATTTGCTATTTCGAAAAATAAACCGAATTCATGGGAATACATACTGAACGGTAGACTGTGATAACTGTCACGATAAGTAAAAGATAAAAAATAAAGTTTATAATTAACCAGAATTTCCAACATAATTTCTTCGATTCTGATGCTGTAGTTCCTGACATTTGTTTTATTAAAAATAATTTAGTTATATGATTGTAATTTTCATTTAGCAAGTGTTATCTTGTGGGTATTTATACATGTGTGTTTTTGATTGAGATATCAAATGGCTAAAGCTCTCCATATCATTGCATAGATTAGTCAAGTCATTGAGATAATCTTGTTTCTCACCTAATTTACTAATTATAGAATCGGCTAAGCAAGATAAAAATAGTGACTACTTAATAGCGTGACGATTAATATTGTAACAGTTTTATTGTATGCTTTGTATCTAGCGTGGAATATGCAATTTGCATATACAGTATTTGCACGTATGTTTATTAACATACACATTACTCTGTATATATTGACAATTTTTTTTTCATTAATAAAAAAATTCAAATGTCGATATAGTGAGTTATACTGACATTTTATATTAAATTTTGAAAAAATAATGTCGATATAGAAAGATTTTACTATAATGTCGTTATATCCAGATGTGGGTATAACCAGAGTGACGTGTATATAATCTTAACATAATCGGATTCAAAAGAATAAACGTCTTTATTTAAGATGTTCAGTAAATCTTTTTTCTTTTAGAACCATCATTTATTATAAATTAGAAAATACAATAAGCATATCTTTTTCTTTGAGCACTTGCAATTGTTCTAACCTTAAACTATTCCTAAACTTCTTTAAATAATAATTGAATTTTTTTTATATGACTTTAAAACATCCACTCTTCTACGTTTCTATCACTTCCACAAATAAGTATTTTGGGATTAAGGTTTCGGTTTCATGGTCCGGATATCTAAAACTTCAATCTCTCTACATAAAGTTTCTACATGAAGAAATTCACAAAAAGCTGTGGATAGGAGCTCACGATATTCCAGAGTTTCCAAGTTTTGTTCTAATCAGATCTTTAATTTTTACTAATCAAAATATACAAATTCTTCTTCACACATCGTATATGAAATCGTTTTTCATATTTTTTTTGAATGCAGCTGTAACACAGAAAATGAATTTCTTAAATTATCAACCTCGATAAAGTGCAGGAATTCTAGAATCCTCAATTTCTGCATGGAATAATATACTAAGAACGAATATACCTAATATCAATTATTTATGTGTATTCTATTAAAGCCTAAATAAGTTGCTATTGAGAATATTAAATTTAGCTTATCTCGAATAATTTAGTATATAACGTGAAATTCTTAGACTCTTTACACCGTACGTACGATATTTATGTACAGTGCAGGAAACGTAAAACGTAAAACATCAATCAATTCATCAAATAAATGCTCATTGAAGATAAGCTATATTTTTAAATTTCAGTAGCATACTTTAGATTTAACTGATTTACCACGTATTCAAAATTAAAATCAGATAAGTTTTTTATTTGTTTATCAATAAAGAACCTTTGACCATTTTTTATTTTTGCTAAATTTGTTGCAGAAGTTATTGATATGGATTTTTTAAGTGAATTGTTAGATCTTTTAGAAAATGTATCATCGAATAACATTTTTATATGAAGCAAAGACTAAAATTCTGTGGGTACCAAATTGAACCCAAATTGATCGAATATATATTTTAACATGAATACGCTTTGCCTCTTGAAATAACTTTTTTCTTACAAGTTGTGCAAATATGTAAATCAGAAACCCCAAATATATCTAAATATTTGGATGGTGCTTCATTGAAAATCTTTGCATCATCGTTCATTGCTTTTAAAAATCGCCCGTTTGCCTTCTCAATATTTAGAAAAATTAACAATAATAATATTTTAAATATTCAGACTTTATTTCTTATTTATTTTTCTTTTACATTAGTGAGGTAAGTAATATAAAATTATTTGTTGAATTGAATTGTATAGTATAAACTAGAAAAACGGGATCCGTTGGGTTCCGGAGCGCCGCTTTGTATTTGTAAACAAACCTAATTATTTGTAAGATACTGTATTAATAAAAATTCTTATAGTATAAGCGTATAACAATTATATACTTATCTTTATATATCTGTCCAATGAAGATAAAGGTTTTAACACTATAAAATCGAATCTTAGATGCACTTTAACCACTTTCGATGATGTAATTATATAATTTACATAAAAAATTGATCTTACTTATTAGATCACAAAAATTTAAGTAGTTCTCATT